CTGGTCAAAATGATTCTTATCTGTGGTCATCTCCTTTAAAAAAAAAAAAGTTACTTAAATCAGAGGCAAAGAGAAGCAGGCAGAGACAGAGAGGGCTTCCATTTGCTGGTTCATTCCTCAAATGCCTAAGCCAGCTGGGGCAAGAAGGGGACAGGCTGGAGCGAGGAGCCAGGAACTCAAACCAGGTAAACAGAGACAACTAGTCCAGCCGTGGCTGCTGCCTCCCAGGGTGCACGTAAGCAGGAAGCCGGAACCAGGAGCCCAAGCTGAGAACCAGACCCAGTTCTCTAGATGCGGGATGTAGGCCGCTTAACGACCAGGCCAAATGCCCAACCCCTCCCATGAGTGGTGCGATTTTATCCAGAAGCCACCATCCACGGCCACCATCTCCCAACAGATGGAAGTCAGAACACCTCCATGGAGTGAGATTCACTAATGTCACCCAGCGATGCAGGGACAGAAGCCAACACGATCGGTCTAAGCCAAAAGGAAAAAACACTTTCAAAAACATGATTACAGTATGTTGTAAAGTTCTCAAGCTAAAGTGAAACCCGTGTGCACAGGCACAGTACTTTACAGTCCATAGCAACCTACAAGCCAGTTAGGCAGACAAGGCACGGTTCTGGCTCACCTGCAGGCCCCGGCTCCCAGGGCTCTGGGCTGGAGCAGCACGACACACACTCCCAATCCTCTGGCTCCAAACCCAGGTCCTGGCTGCACCGCCGGCACCGCTTCCACACAGCTCGCCAAACACAGCCACGTTCTCATCTCCTTCGAACTTCCACCCACGATCTCTCCTGCACCTGCCCCTAACAGACACGCAGAGCAGGGCATCCATCCTCTCCGACGGCCGACTCCGTGAGAGCCGAGGTGGCAACCCAATAAACAGTAACCGCGGCAGGCCCACAGGGTGGGAAAATACGTCAGGGGAAGAGTGGCTGAAGGGACGGTGACACGGGAGGAGAAGGGGAGCGGGGAGCGCAAACACGCGCAGGTGCACACCCAGATTCTGTGTCAGCCACGGGAGGGGCTGTGACATAAAGGAATCACAGCTGTGCTGGGTGGCCCTGAGGGTTAAAACAAAGGCAATTCAACATTCACTCAACAAACACTGGCTGTCTGCTGGGTGCCAGAGGCTTGTGCTACCCCAGGGACACAAAGGAGAGCAACAAAGGACCAACCCTCAGGAGGCTGACACCGGCGGTACTGAGGCAGCTCTGGGCACCGTAAGCTCCCTTTCAAAGAGAAAACCAGAAGTGGACAGGTGGGGGGGGGCACTCGGCAGGCGGTTCAGCCCCTGCTCGGGACGCCGCATCCCGTCTCCGAGTGACCGGATTCCCATCCTGGCTCCGCTCCTGAATCCAGCTTCCTGCTGATGCAGACCCTGGGAGGCAGCAGGTGAGGAGCCGCTGCCCGCATCTGGGGGAGCGAACCAGCAGAGGGGAGAGCTCACTCCCTCTCCGCCTTCACGTGGGTTAAGTGAAAACTCTTTCTAAAAAGAAATGCACGAGGTGGGAAGTGGCTTTCACAGGTCGGAGGGCGCTGCAGAAGTGCAGACACGTGGAGCTCTGCCGTGACTCGGCGGTGGCGGGACACCAGGTCCGTATCACGGCGACAGCAGGGGCGCAGCCGTGAGAACCTCACAGTCTGCCAGGGAGGTCACACTGCAACCTGCAAGCCATGGGACACGAACCAGAGACTTCAGGCAGGACAGCAGTAACGCTCGGAGAAATACTGCAGAATTTCCTTCTAGAACGAGGACAGACTTCTAGACAGCTACAGGGGAGGCAGAGGGGAACGAGATCACGGAGCCATGACTGGCAGTCCAGCTGAGGACCAAGACGAAAAGCCAGGTTCCGGCTCGAGAGAGATCTAAGAGGCCCTCGTCACACAGAATGGGGCCTGTGGGAATGACAGCAGGGGAGGTCCCTAGATGTCACCTCGGGCGAGCGGGTGAGCAGTGACGGCCAAGGAAGGTCCCAGAACGACAAACCCACGCCGTCATCCCAGGAAGGAGGAGCCCGGTGCAGGAACTGCCTCCTTATCACCTGCCGAAGGGGAACGAGGAAGCAGGGAGAAGAGGAACACAGAGGTCACCCCTGGACTTGTGCAATGCACTGCTGCTGTCCAGTGAGGGGGACGGGGAGGCGTCTGCGGCTCACAGGGCGCCGGTGAGCACGCGCAGAGCGCACAGAACGAGACTCCCTCCAGACACCAAACAGAGGAGGAACCACCCAGAGATGCGGTGACCCAGGAGACGGGGATGGTGTGCAAAGGGCGGGCAGAGGGGAGGAAGCAGGGGGCGGCGCCCAGCCAGCGATTAAGACTCGGGTTCAGACGCCCACACCCCACATGGGAGAACCTGGGCTCAGCCCCTGCTCCGGCTCCTCGCTCCGGCTCCCTGCTGATGCAGACCCCGGGAGGCAGCAGGTCCCTGCCCCACCACGGGAGACCCAGAGCGAGCTGCTGGGTCCTGCCATCTGCCTGGCCCAGCCCCAGCTGCTGTGAACATCTGGGCAGTGACCCGGGATGGGAGCCCTCTCTCTCTCTGACTCTTATTAAAACTTTCAAAAATTGTTAATGGATGAAGAAAAGAAAAAGTAAAAACTACTGTTCCCTGTACCACACACTGCCTAGTTTTCTAACAGAAGTTACTCAAAATACGAACCACGGCCTTTGAGCTGCTACATCCCAAGATGGAGATTCAGGCTGGGGCTGCGGAGCACTGGATGGCCGAGGTCACTCTCAAGGGCCTCGCCCCGCACAGGCTGCGGGCCTGTCCTCGCCGCCACGGTCCCGGCAGATCCCTGTCTTCCTGCCTTAAGCAGACTGTGCCTCCTCGTGCCAGGCCGCCAGCACTGCGGGCCACCTGCTGTCACCAGCCCCCCACCCCCACGTGTGGACCTGGTCCATCCACTCTAAGACGGGAAAACCTTCCAGTGACCCCGTGCTCCCACACCTCTGCTCTTCTCCACCTGTTCCATCTCCACTCTCCCACCACCCCCAGAAAGAGTCTGAGCCTACACCGGACCAAAATAAAAACCAGAGCCCTGACCACACCTGGTGCACCGGCAGCTCGCTGCAGCGGCTGCAGTCCCTGGTGCGCCCTCGGGAGTGACCGCCTCTCCTCACTGCAGGTGCCCCCTGCCTCTGCCGTGAGCCAGGGCCGGGTGCGGGAAGCTCTCTGTTCCAGCATCAGAGGACCCGTGTGCTAGCCCCAGGGGCACCTCAGCAGCCGGGGGCCCCTCCGCGCGCCCCTCGGGTCTCCTTTCTCCCTGGCACCCGACCCACAGCAGGTGAGGGCCCCCAGCCGCACTTCCTCAGAACCTAGGCTTCTCCGTGGGGATCACCATCACTTAGAGGGTCATTAGCAGCTGAACAGCTCTCTCTGCCACCCCCACGCCAGACTGGGAACTCCATGAAGGCAGAGCACGTGCCCCACACCTCACCGGTGCTAAACGAAAACCCATCAACTGAGTGAACGTCCCAGGGCCCCGACATGATCTGCATCAACCTAATAAATTACTAGCACTTTATTTCTTACAGAATCACCGACAAAATTTTCAACAGAAACTTCACCTACCACCTCAGGCACACATCCTGTGGTGAACTATGTATAAATTTACATAGAGACGGAACAAAGGTGGTAGCAGCCGGCTTTCCAAGGCCGGAACATCTCTCTCACCCTCCTGTTGAGGGGCTGCCTTGGTTACCTACAATCCAGGACCAAAAGGTGGGATGGAGATCACGTCCAGGCTGAATACAGCAGGGGCTCCCAGGGACTCACGTGGTGCTGATCTGACATCTACCTACCACTGCTGATGGGGCTGTCAGACACTGCACCACCTACCCACCACCGCTGATGGGGCTGTCAGAGACTGCACCACCTACCCACCACCGCTGATGGGGCTCTTAGACACTGCACCACCTACCTACCACCACTGATGGGGCTGTTAGAGACTGCACCACCTACCCACCACCGCTGATGGGGCTGTTAGACACTGCACCACCTACCCACCACCGCTGATGGGGCTGTTGGAGACTGCACCACCTATCCACCACCGCTGATGGGGCTCTTAGAGACTGTATCACCTACCCACCACCGCTGATGGGGCTGTTGGAGACTGCACCACCTACCCACCACTGCTGATGGGGCTGTTAGAGACAGCACCACCTACCCACCACCGCTGATGGGGCTGTTAGACACTGCACCACCTACCCACCACCGCTGATGGGGCTGTTAGACACTGCACCACCTACCCACCACCGCTGATGGGGCTGTTGGAGACTGCACCACCTATCCACCACCGCTGATGGGGCTCTTAGAGACTGTATCACCTACCCACCACCGCTGATGGGGCTGTTGGAGACTGCACCACCTACCCACCACCGCTGATGGGGCTGTTGGAGACTGCACCACCTACCCACCACCGCTGATGGGGCTGTTAGACACTGCACCACCTACCCACCACCGCTGATGGGGCTGTTGGAGACTGCACCACCTACCCACCACCACTGATGGGGCTGTTAGAGACTGCACCAACTGGCACGCTGGCAAAGCCAGGAGCTACACGAGCATATATATATATGATCTCTATATATATGGTCGCTCTCTATATATGATCTAAATGTACGTGATCTCTATATATGATCTCTATATGTATGATTTCTATATGTATGATCTCTCTCTATATATGATCTCGCTCTCGCTCTCTCTATACACACACTGCAAGAACACCAGAAGTTTATCAGCCAAGTTCCCTTGCAGCGCTGTTTTCACACACAAGGGCCAGGTGGGACAAGCCCTGGTTCCGATGAGTACCAGTCGCCCCTGCGTCCGACCAGAAGACTTTCAAACGTAGGAACTCAGCTCGCCCACGGAAGCGAAGTCCGTTTCGTCAAGCCCTACGAACCCCCACCTTGCTCCAGCAGCCCCCACCGATCACCCACTGACGCCCCCAGGAGCTGACCGCGACCCTGCAGGCCCGCCCTGAACGCACCGGGAATGCAGTGGCTCCAGCCGGCTCCGAGATGCAGCGGGCAGCGTCGACCCCACCGCCCGACACCGGACCGGGCTGCCGAGGGCCACTGGCTTCCTACACGGTCATTTGCAAATCCGATGCTCGCCAAGTCGCGGGCTGAGAGTGACCACAGGCGGCGGGCGCCGCCGCAACGCCCAGCGAGGGGCGGCTCTCAGGGCGCCCCGGGGTGCGGCCCGCGGCGCGGCGACGGGCGAGCGAGCCCCCGGGCCCCGCCGCCCGCGCGCGAGGGTTCCCCGGGGACATCCCGCGGACGCGCGTGGGGCCCTCGGAGGCCGGGAAGTCCCTGGGCCGGGCGCGGGCAGCGCGGCGCCCTCCCCCCTCGGCGGGCTAAATTCCTGGACTCAGGCCGAGCGGACCGCGGGTCCAGGCTAGGGGGTGCGGGG